ATTTCCCCAGACTGCCCAGGTCAGGAGAATAACTGTTACTTGCAAGGTACAGAAACCAGTTTCCCAAAGAAGCGATGCTAAGTCATATGCAGAAAAATCATGTTCTTCTGTGTAAATGAGTAGAGAGAAACAGGAAGAAAAAGAATGTGTGGGAACCACTGAGAAAATTGTCAGCAAGTCTCAAGGAATACGACTCTGTCTTTTCCTTAGGAAAACTACTTCAGATTCCGAGGAAGACGACACTCAAATCTATCAGTGATGTTTGTTTGACTTCTGCATTTTTACAGAAAATGAGAGGCACATTGTGGATTTCGTTCTCAGCCTTCTTTTCTTCTCCCACCCAAACCGAACTGAGAAAACTCAGATGAAGAGCGGAACACTGAAAATCAGATCCCGGCAAACGGGAAGCTGTGTGAAACCCTTCACACACTGTGAAATCGAACATTCAGCCCCTGCCCCTGCAGACACTGAAAAGCCACAGAAATAAAGTCAGCTCCAACTCTCAGTTCTATTTTGAGCTGAGGGTTTAAATACCACCAGCTTAGACTAAGGTCACATTTTATAAATATATTTAAAAGGGAATCTAAATGAAAATATTTCCTTGCACGCTATAAAATGTTAAAGACCTACTGGGCAGTGGTGGCACATGCTTTTAATCCCAGTACTTGGGAGGCAGAGGCAGGCAGATCTCTGTGAGTTTGAGGCCAACTTGGTCTACAGAGCTAGTTCTAGAACAGCCAGGGTGGTTACACAGAGAAACCTTGCCACAAACAAAACAAAACAACAAAGAAAACAGTTAAAGACTTGGCAACTGACTTCCCTTGTCTTTGTTTCTTTAAATGCCAACATGATACTTAATTTACAGCCCCAAAGTAAGAGAATTAATCCCATGAAAATCCACTTCAAGCCTCATAAGTGATATGTTTTAATTTTTATTAAAAATTTTTCTTTTATGTGTGTGGGTGTTTTATCTATATGTATATGTGTGCAACACGTGCATTCCTGGTGACAGTGGAGGCAGGTGAGGCTGTTGGGTCCCCTGGACCTTGAGTTACGGATAGTTGAGAGCCACCTTGCTGTGCTGAGAATCAAACTGAGTCTTCTGGAAGGGCAACAAGTGCTTTAACCACTGAGCAAGCTCTCCAGCCCGAGTTTTAGTTTAACACTCAAAGTTATTGATCATTATGTGTCAAGGTGATTATAAAACGTTTGAACTAGAATGAGAGCCACATCTCTGACTTCAAAGTTTCTACAAGCATGACCAGAAACAATGAAGACCACTCCCTCGTCCCCTACTGGACACTGTTAATCCAATATAGCCATTTTCCCATCTGAGCTTTTAAACCCTTGACATTGACATGGCCCACAGATGGAAACTGCTCAAGAAAAAAAATAATTATCCTGTGCAAAGCCTTATTCTAAACACTCTGTATCTAATAGGGATATTCCATTAGTCCTACTGACAGTTTTAAACCTAGCTCAATTATTATTAACACAGTTTCACTATGAAGACACAGGAGTGATGTGGGATGTTCCTCTGTATACTGTGAATATGTCTTATTATCATTGGTTAATAAAGAAGCTGCTTTGGCCTATGGCAGGGCAAAATACAGCTAGTTGGAAAGTCTGAGAAGAGAGATAGGGAGAAAAAAGGTGGAGTGGAGGAGACTCCAGAAGCCACTGGAGGAGTAAGACGCCAGAGTATTATTGGTAAGCCATGGGGCACGTGGTGATAAGCAGATTATTAGAAATGGTTTAATTTATATGTACCAGTTAGAAGCCTGAGCCATTGACCAAACAATTATAATTAATATGAAACCTTGAATGATTACTTTATAAGAGGCTGTGGGGGACCAACAGGCAGAAGAGAAACCAGGTCAGTGGGACCAGGTGAAACACAGAAAATCTCGAACTACACAGAAGTACAAAAATTTGCCGAAAGTCATAGGTCTGGTAAATGCAGAGATGGTATACAAATCTCACTGTGTCTAGGGTTCTCGTCCCCTTACCACTATGCTGCAACACTCTTAAAAAACAGAACAAGTTTTATTGGCACAGGGCAGTCAGGCTTTGGAGCTCAAATTCATGGCACAGTGTGGACAGCAAACCATTCCATGTCATGTACTTGAAATGTGCTAAGAGGTCAGATCTACAACAGAACTAACACAGCATACACAGCAAAGTGATGGAGGTTAATTAGCTTGATGCAGTAATCACTTCATAATATAGAGATATGCTGAAATCTCATGTTATATGTTTCAACTAGTTAGTTTTTGTAAACTCGACACAAGCCTGAGTCACTTGGGAGGAGGAACTCTCAACTGAGGAATTGCCTCCATCATACTGGCCTGTGGGCATATTTGTGGGCATTTTCTTAATTAATGGTTGATGTGGAAGAGCCCAGTCCACTGGGCACGACCAATCTTGAGCATGTGGTCCTAGACAGTATAAGAAAGCAAGCTGAGCAAGCCATGGAGAGCAAGCCAGTGAGCACCACCCCTCCATGGCTTATGCATCACCTCCTGCCTCCTGGTTCCTGCTTTGAATTCTTAGGCTGCCTTCCCTCCATGATGAGCTGTGACCTGTATCATGTAATAAACTGTCTCCTCCCCAGGCTGCTTTTGTTCATGGGGTTTCAACACAGCAACAACAAGCAAACCACGAAAGAAAAAAGTTGAAACTGTGTCGTTTGTTAGATTATAACTCAACAAAACTAGAAGAAAAGGTCAAAGGCGTCTATGATCTTTCTGGGAAACATTAAATGTAAAGATTTGAAATAAAGCAAATTGAACTCAATGGTATCTTTACAGACTTTCTTCTTTTATTACTTGGGGCAATTTTCTTTTGTCTTATTGGTCTTTTGTTTGTTTGTTATGATTTCCAATTCTGTGGGGTTTGGAGGATCGTTTATTGTGTTTTTATTTTTATTATTCTGGCTTGTTTATTCACTTTCTGTTTGCCTGGAGTTCAGTAAATGGGGAGGATTGAGGGAGAGTCAAGGAAGAGGAAGCCAGGATCAGAATATATATTGCATGACAAAAAAAAAGGTTTTTCAATTTAAAAAAAAGAGTAGGAGACTAATGGTTGCCTAGAGCTGAAGTCTGGATGGGAACGGGGAGAGCATCAGGGATTGTAGGTTTCTTTGGGGAGGGATAATGGAAATGCTGCAAGGTTGATGGTAGTGATGTTTGCACTACCCTATAAATTTACTGGGGGAGAAACCATTGAATTTTATACTCTAAAGAAGAGAATTGTATCGTGTGTGAATTATGTCTCAATAAGGCTGTTATTTTAACAAGGAAAAGGGAAAAAGAAATAAAAGCAAGTCATGCGGATGGTAGGATTTTAACTCCTTTATGGAAAATCTAAAATTCACATTGATGGAAAGTAAGTCACACAGTAACCCCACAGCCCATCCTCTAGTTTTAATGGCTTTAAAAAAAATTGCCAATCATGTTTTTAATCAATCTTCCACCACTCCCAGATATTTTGCTTTTGTTTTTGTAGTATTTTACACTACAGCAGAATGTTGCCATTATTGAAAACATTGGATACGGAGTAATCGCTATGAAAACGGGACAGGGTAGCATGGCACTCGCCTGGAAGGGTCCCACAGGAGGCCAGGTCTGCCCCACAGCAGCCCTCCTGTCCCTCTTTCTCCCGTGTGTCAGAGGCTATGTAGCCCTCAGTCACAGCTCAGACTCACCATCATCCCCTTTCTCCAGTCCCCAAGAGGGAAAGGACCCCTGGGGCCCCCATCAGAGTCACCTAAATGGAAATACCTGGGGGTGGGGGTGGGGGTGGGGACTCTGGAACTGTAGATGTGAATGGTCAGAAAGCTAACCTCTGCCAAATGGGCCAGCCAGGAAAAAGACGGCTGTTCTATAATAAAACTATAGAGAAAAGCTTCAGTTTATGGTTTATATTAACAACTGTAAACAGGCAACTTTAAAACCAAACCAATCAAACAACCAAAAATAAATAAAGAAAGAAAGAACCACCATGAGTTCAAACTGTACTCCCATCTCGGGATGGAGTTGATCAGTGCCCAGATCTGCGGAATGAAAACAGACATCAATAAGGTCTAATCTCAGATGAGAAATAGCTTCTCGGGAACCTGACCCCTCAGGTCACTGGCGGCTCCTTTTTCCATGAATAAAAAATGACTCCCTCTTTGCCAGTGGAACATGAGATGGGCTGATGACTGTTTCTGTAGGAGTTATTAATAACACTTCTTGTCAATTCCAATCTTACTTAAAATGCGAGGCAGATACAGATAATCAAATGAGCTACGTATGTAAATGCATTTTTACAGTATTCACGAGCGTAATGCTGAGTTAACATTGCAAAATCTTTCATATTAACCCTCATTTTCATTGATTAACCTTCCGAAGAGACTGGTAATTTTCTACCCCCCAGAACCCAGATCCTAGGCAGTAATTAAAAGGATACACGCTCATCATAAGAAGTAAAACTCAATCATTTCGTGAGTTTTATCTCATTTTTCTAAGTCAAGGTGTCTATGATTGGAAACCCTGATACTTGCTCATGAATGACCTCAACAATAGTCTCAGGAAGATTCTTTTAAGATATATTCATTTTAGTGTGTGTGTACGCACACACACGTGCATGCACACGCACACCACATGCATGTATTGACTGACCACAGAGACCAGAAGAAGGCATCAGAATGCCTAGATCTGGAATGACAGGTGGTTTGTAAGCAGCCCAGTGTGGATTCTAGGAACTGAGCCTGGGCCTACTGCAAGGGCATTAACTCCCCATAATCGAGAAACGGAATAGTGTCCAATAGGAGGTTATTTTTCCTTGATGGATGATTAAAACACAGTAACACAATGACTGATTCAAGTAGTAGATCCAAGCTCTTAACTAACCAAACGAAACAGTACACGGGGTCCTTAGGCATCTTCCGCCCTGCCATCAGCCCCCAGCAGGGCACAGTCTGCTCCACCCACCCTCAGCCCCTTTGCCCCACTCACGGGTGACTGGCCGACTCTGCTCCAGCTGCACACTGTCCAGGGATTGGGTGCTGGGCACCGCAGAGACACTGGAACTCCTCACGAAGCCAAAGGCCGCCAGCTTGGCTGCTGGGAGACGTGAGTACCCAGGAGGACGAAGCCCAGATTTTGGTAGACTGGATTTTGCAGCATTTGAACTGGAGGCTTTCTTGAGATCTGTCAAAATGAATCAAAAAGAAAACTTCTCAGTGGAGAGCACGATGCACCGTCCGCCATGAGAAGACGAAACTTGCAGGCTCCACATCTGCACACTAGCAAACCAATTTTTAATAGAAAGGCCCCTTACCGGGGCCTATGCTTCAGGGGACTCAAGCAGCCACTACCCGGGAATGTTCACAGTCTCACTTGTAGAGGAACTGAGGACCAACAAGTGCCCACACTCTAAGCCCAGGAAAGGCTAAAGGGATTGGAGATGCAGAACAGAAAGAGAGTTGCAAAACTGCAAGTTACCTTAAATTTGTGAGAACAAGATACACCTTAAAATTTAACACACCGTGGGCTATAACCCCAGGTGATTAGCCTCACAGAAATGGGTTCCAAGAATCGTCCAGACTGCTAACCCTATTGCTTTGGGGGTAAGGTTAGCCAGACTGCAATCCCCAAAGACTGACTGGGCAAACTCCAAGCTCCAAGCCCTTGCTCTACCCTGAGAACACTAGTATCTCCTTGTAAAGAATGGTGCCATGACTCGTGTCCAGCACCCACTGTACAGTCTGGTAGGTGCCTACAGCGGTGTTGTGATTTCTTTATGTTAGCTCAAACTTCAAATTAGTTCCTAGGTGTGTACCCAGGCGGGGAGCACAAAGATAACGGTGTCGTGCTGTGAAGCAGGGTCTCTGCACCTGCATGGCCCTTTCAGGAATGGATATACGTAAAGGAACAGAAACAGAGTGGACGCTGGATAAAAGATGTCTGGCATTATGCTGGCAGAGGGGGACAGCAGGCAACGCCTCTCTTCCGGGCACTTGGTGATTAGTTCTCAACAGAAACAGCCACAGGCACCAGTTCAAAAAGGCCCCAGTGCTGTGGACAAGCAGGACTCTTTGAGAAGTATATGCTTAGAGACCTCAGAGCAAGCGTCGTTGGACTATGGCCTGAAGCCTGGCAAGCAGAAGGAGAGGCTACAGAGAAGAAACTTTGAAACACGGCTGTGTAGTGCGCGGCATGGTGGGAACCTGGTTCAAACCAGAGAGTTGTCACGTGGCCTTTCCCTCCAGCCATAATGTGTTCGTTCACCTGACACTGCCACCGTAGAGTGGAGATGACCTTGGCTTGGTAGCCATGAAGGAAGGGTCCTGAGGGTCTCATTAGGAATTCTAGCTGTTACACTGGCCCCAATACAGAGCTGCCAGTGATCTCAGAAACAGCTGAGGTCGCCAGGAAGTAGAAGGCTAGCCAGAAGGGGCAGCGTCCAATCAGGATGGGCTGGGGTGGGACTTCACAGTGATACAACTCACATAGCGCTCCTCTAAGTGATTCCTCCCTTGCCTTCTGTAAGCCCAATAAGCTCATTGGTTCGCCAAGCTGAGCTCTGGGGGGTAATCCCGGGCTTTGGTGGCCTATGGGGGTGAAGAGACAGACATTCGTTCTCATCTCTTTGGTACTTTCTTTTTTTTTTATTGAAAAATAAAAAAAAATTCCGCTTCCTCCCACACCACTCCCCCTCCCCCCACTCCTCTCCCCGTCCCTCTCCAGTACGAAGAGCAGTCAGGGTTCCCTGCACTGTGGAAAGTCCAAGGTCCTCCCCCCTCCATCTAGGTCTAGGAAGGTGAGCATCCAAACTGGCTAGGCTCCCACAAAGCCAGAACATGAAGTAGGATCAAACCCCAGTGCCATTGTCTTTGGCTTCTCATCAGTCCTCATTGTTCAGAGAGTCCAGTTTTATCCCATGCTTATTCAGTCCCAGTCCAGCTGGCCTTGGTGAGCTCCCAATAGATCAGTCCCTCTGTCACAGTGGGTGGATGCACCCCTCACGGTCCCGACTTCCTTGCTCATGTTCTCCCTTCTTCTCTGGCTGCAACATCTGTCACCCCATTGATCGCCAGTGTTGATTCGGCTGATCTGGCTGGCTAGGCGGGTGTTCCCTTCCTCCCTCACCACTCCATGTGTGTCCCTCCCGAAGCTGCGGGCTCGGTCGAAGAGGACGACCTTCCCCAAATAGAGGAGGACCGGTCTTCGGTCAAGGGTATATGAGTAGCTGCGCTCCCCTGCTAGAACCTCCAAAAAAGCTCTCAAGGTCCTCTTTGGTACTTTCATGGGGGCAGTGCTTCTCTTTGTTTTAGAAATGCGGGTGACTGTGCATGTGAAAAATGCCCCAGAGCGATTCAAAGTGATTCAAACTTACAGAAAAAAAAAATGCTCCCTGTCCCCGCCCCCAGTCATCACTCACTCAGCAAGGCTGTGGCATTTATGTGGCCTTTACAAAAACAACATCGACAACCCAAGCAATCTTTGCCAGTGAAGTCCTCTTGCCAGCTCCCTGCTGTACAGAGTCCCAGGTTCTGGTTCAGTCCCACTTCTCCTCCAGACATAGAAGGCAGATGAAGATTAAGAGCCCGGCCATCGTGCAGAAGGCACCGGCATAGTAGGGACGGGCCGAGAGGCTGAAGCATTCCTTCTGTGTGTGCTCGAATGGCCTCGTTGACAGCTAGGCCGAGGCGGATTGTTGTGTGTGGCCTAGGTGGCCACAATCTTCTTTAAACTGGAATACGCCCCACATACCAGGGCCCTGAGCTGGACACTGTACTTGCTACCTTTTCTCCTCCAGAAGGTCCTCGCAAAGGGGTCACTGTGCAGGAACTCTCGCTGCACGCCGTCACCATCAAAGGGGACCCCCTTGCCACTGGAGAGCTGCTCAATCACCGTGCTGCGCTCCACAAGGTCAGTGGCAGTGTAGACACTGGGTGGGGTTGTCACGCCCACCTGGTGATGAGACACAGGGCCACTCAGAGGATGCCCTCCTCCTTGAACACCCAGTGGTAGAGGGCCACGGTGAGCTCACAGGTGTCTGACTGAGAATTCCTCTGGGCGCCGGATGCGGTCTCCCACACTGTTGAGCTGAAGAAGGCATCAGTGAAGAAATCCAAGGAACCACAGAAGGTGACACGGGTGCTGTTGTTGGCTCAGAGCCCTGCGATCAGGAGAGTGTTCTTCCCACTGCATGGTGGTACTGGGTGATGTGCTAGGCTGGGATGGATGTGGAGGTTGAAGAGCCTGCTAGGATGTCCAAAACCAAGGGATTGTCCCCACTTCAGCTCCTTGGAAGAAAACGGGGTTGAGAGATAATTTCCCATCGATGGTTGGGGCCTTCATCAGGTTCTCAGTGCCAATCACGAATGCTGGCCAAGGTCTGAGACATCATAAGTGTGACGATCAATGACCGATGTTTTCTCATCATCAAATTCAATCCTACACTCACTGCCCAGTTCCTGAAGAGGGTCAAGGGTATCAGAGCTGGCAGCAACCCAAACACTGCCACCACCATCAATGGAGGCACCAATGTTGCCTCCAAAGTCATCCACTAAGCAGAGAAGATGATGAGACGGTCATAGGGGAACTCCCAGGGCCTAATGAGGAACAAGCTGGAGACATCTGCAGTCCTGAAAGTGAGCTCAAAGCCCCAGTCCTTCAGGCTGAGGAAGAACACTGAGTGTGTGTCCCACACAGTGATGCTGTCCAGTGGCACGAGGGTGCAGGGGGGCCACTGGTGCAGATGCAGCTGAGCACAGCCAGCATCAGCCCACAGAGGTGCCAGCGGTGAGGCGGGGATCCATCTTCATCTTCCAGCGAGAGAGGCCAGCACCTGGACACCTCAGTCACGTGTCACTAGGAGCAGGTATGATGACAGAGAATCTTCAGGAGAATATGCAGACGCAAGCTCCAAGAAGCAAGTCAAATGTTAGGAATGGCTGCACAGGTAAGGACCAGCATTCGCAACGGGAATCCTGAAGGAACGCCCAGAGGTGTGACCCCCATCAAAGATCTTAACATGAGACCTGAACCCCTGAAACTGCTAGCGAAGGTGTAGGGAGGGGGCTTAATGATACGGGCAGAGTCACAGACCTTCTCCATGGGACTCTGGTTGCTCAGAAACTAATGTCAACAATCAACAAACGTGTGCACCGCAAACAATTAATCAAGCAAAGGGATAGCCTACAGGATGGGGAAATGTGCAGCTTTGCTAGATACACATTGGAAGAGAAGCTTAGTATCTAGAATATAGGATATACAAAGAACTCAAAATATCGCACACAGACACAACCCAATCCATAAATGCTAATGAAATGAACAGTTCTTCAAAGATGAGATGAGTGTCTTCATTGATCCCCACCCCTCAGGGTCCAGGAGCTATGGAGAAGAGGAAGAGAAAGATGGTAGGAGGCACAGGGGATGGAGAACACGAAGAACAGTGTCTTCCAGTCACAACAGGACTGACACACATACGAACTCCCAGAGACTGAGGCAGCCTGCCCAGGGCCTGTATGGGTCCCAGGGCTGGGAAGGGAAGTGGACATAAGCCCCCATCCCAACCAAGAATCTATCTCCTGTTGACGACTCCTTACAAAGGAACAGTTAGTTTTCTCCAATAGAGCCTCTCCAGGTATATAAACCACACTTAAGGGCAGGCCCCACGCCCAGGAGTAGAGGGCCAAGACAAAAGGAACTCAACAGCATTGTTTGTAGACTTTTCGTCTCATGTTATATTGTCTGGGATTTTTTTGTCTTACTGATCATTTTGCTTGTATATTATGGTTTCTGATTGTGTGTGTGTGTTGTGCTTTTTTTTAAAAATTCTGGTTTGTTTGGTTTTTTGTTGTTGTTAACCTGTTTGTTTTCTCAAAGAGAAAGAGAAAGAAAGATATGGATTTGTGTGGGTAGGGAGGTGGAGAGGATCTGGAAGGAGTTGGGGGAGGGGACCTCATGATCAGAATATACTGTATGGAAACTTTATTTTCAGTAAAACAGAGAGAGAGAGAGAGAGAGAGAGAGAGAGAGAGAGAGTTAGTTTTTGGTGAGAAAGAAATGTGAAGTTTTTTCCTTTTACTAAGTTCAGTGTTTCTGTAACTGTTTGCCATGGATGCACAGAAGGACGCGATGGTCTCTAAAGGCCCTGAAAAGCATCCACACTCTAGACACCTCCAGTGATTACCCCACTT